TGGGTAATGACGAGGGAAGCTTAAATCTGTTCATCATGGTATCTTTGCTAGCTTTTTAGCGATTTCATCGATTTCGGCTTAAAATTTAGTTTTGCTAGGCGCACTGTCGAGTTAGCTTGCACTCATAAATCCTAAATTTTTTCCTTTAAAATCTGAACAAAAGAAAATTTACGGTCATTTTCTTATGTGAGTGCTAGAAGTGACTGCTAGTTCACCACTTATTCATACTCGGAACGTCCTGCACTGATATAGCCGGCAACCGTACTATTAGTTTCTGCCTTCAGCCCTTCTGGTTCAAAATGCACCACATATTCAAATTAGCAAGTCAGTTCAGTAATCGGTGGCCTTCTAACTGTTGTTTTAATGTGTTTTCGGTGTCAGTCGTTGATTCTTTTCGCCCCTTCGTTATCTGTCATCTTTGCTACATGGCCATCCCGGCTTCTTTTCCTGGCAAAAATATACTTCTTCTTTTACATTTTCCATACCAGGATGGTTGTGAGTTTCTTGTTCTTAACTGTTGTAATTTAGTGACAGGCATTCATTTAAGGACGAAGAATACGAGGCGCAAACTTCAGAAATTGAGGAGAATCGTGAACGGGTTGAGAAGTTGGATATCTGCATGTGTTATATGTTCAGCTATATAGCAAGAGCTCATAATCAAGAATTCTCAGTAGAAACTGGTATGGTTTTTATCGTCCAGTGCATTTTGTCCATCTGAGAACGGTGCATACAATCAATAAGGAGGTTAAAAATTACAGAACTACGATTAAGTTAGACAGAATTTGTTAACAGGTTGTACGTACGATACTTTTAGCGGCTGCTAGTTCACTAGCTGATTAATATTTGGGACGTTTACGACAGTTATAGCCTATCAGCTTCGGTCTTGGATTATTAATTGGATCATCCTTGTTGTTCTTTTAACATGTTTTGGACACCAGTCGCTTATCCGTTTCATCTGTGTCTTATTTGTCATCCTTCCCAAATAACTGGCTCAGATTCTCTTCCTAGCCTACCATTTCCTGTATTATAGGAGTGAACCTGAGCTCGATCGCAAAACATTGTTGATAATGTGCTTTGTTTGCATATATTATAAAACTACGCGTAGGTTAGAGCGAATTCATTAAACAAAACATGTACTCATGCTACGTACTTGATCAAAAGAAAAAAACAGTATGGGATCAGCGTACACTGATAGTTAAGGCCATTAAGGAAGCTGATAAAGATACTTCATTTTCTTCTAAGAATGGTAGTGTTCGGAGCACATATCAAGGAAATTTCGAGACGACTAAAGCCTTGCTCACTGTTTCTGTTGGGTGAGCCGTTTGGCTGCTAATCCCTTTGGAAGGACTGTTACAGGCTGAGTCACAGACGAGCAGCATTGATCAAGATTACTGTTGACCGCATAGATGGCGGACCAAGCTACAAGATGCGGCTGATCTAAGCATTCGAATTGTGGGTTTGTCTACTTTCAGATACGCAGTGGTTACCAGCAATATGTCAGCGGAAGAATCTGTTCGGCGAGTTATTAAATGTTTTTGAAGAGAACCTGCTGATGGCGCACAACTTGAAAAATGTTTCATTTCTGTGGTTCTATTTATGCAGTCTGGATGTGGTACGTTCATTTCCCTGGAGATTTTCCATTCTAGGCACATAATTCAGTCTGACACTTTGTATGGCAGCTTTTATGCAATTCGGGATGTTTTTCATCCTCCAGGGGTTCGCAAGTGGACTGTTCAGCATGGGACCATGTGTGATGAAGATGATGGTGGACTGCGAAGATTAGTCAGTGGATCCACGTAGGAGGCGTCGGCAGTAGAGATTCTGGTGAGAAATAAAGCTAAAAAACTGTTGCGTAGGACTTTTGTCAGTATGGTACCTCATCTTAGTTTAAGGGTAGCAGGGTTTGAGATGAGGTGGGGATGCTTAGCGCACACCGGTGAGATCTGGAACTAGCCTTGCCAAATATTTCTATCGGGGAACGCTAAACCAATATTCTTTTTGGGAGACAAAACGAATGTTAGGCTCGCCAGCAAGTTGATCAGCAGGATGATTCAGCACTGGTTAAAACAACTGTTGCTGTTTAAATAGGATAGCCAGATCGTAAATTAACAAGCCTTTCATGACAGTTTAGGCAGCTGTTAAAAATATTTTTGCTGAACCCTTCAACACAAACTTCACTATTTCGCTTCTCGGTATTAAACATTGTGGTGACAAAAAAAAAA